GTAGTCAGGGGAATAGGTAGAATGAAGGGTACAATGATAGCGCTTAGCACCAGGAAATATCTGAGGGCAGTAGGTGTCAGGTGACATGAAGTGACATATGTTACAACTCCATTGTTACTCTGGTGCTTGTCTGCTCAAATAACAATTTTCCCTTTGTGGTCATCAGGGAGTCCCAACCCTTTGACTTTGAAGTAACACTGGAATACAGGCAGGAGTTAGCTTCATGTCACCTGACATGTACTGCCCTCAAATTTTTCATGGTGTAGTTTCTATGTAGTTCCAAAATCTATCTTCTGCTTCTGTTACTTTTATTTTTTCTACTCTTTCAATAACTGTAATGTTATCCGGGTGGTTGTGGTAATATCTACTAGCTTCTTCTGCAATTGTACTGTCTATTTGTCTAATAAATGGCAAAACTTCCGGCATTTGTTCTTCAGAAGGCCATTGTTAGTAGTAAATGTTTTGGGGACAAAAGGTTAAGAGAAGCAAGGAGATATGTTAGTCACGGAATTCCAATTAGGCCAGACCCCCAATTGTCAGCCTCTGGGTAACTAACCTGAGTATTTAATAGTAAAAAGGTTGTTACTATGAGTTGACTGAAGTTTTTGAGCGTGGTGAGTGTTAGGTAGTGGGTGATTAATACCAGTCCTGTAAAGAGGAGGTTTCACTCTATCAGTATGGTCTTTACTGAGAGGCTTGCTATCAACAGCGCATCCGGATCAATACAAGGTATTAATAGGCATCCAGGGTACTAAGACTCACCTGGGATTGATTTGGTTATTCCCCAAAGGGAATGGGCTAACAATACTTATTAAGCTTTAACAAAATTAGTTGAAGATTAACAGGTATTGTTAAAGGGAATATTCAGCAAGGCTATGAATACTGTGGATAAGTTGAGTAAGAGTACTGAAGCTTAAGAACAATAAATGTAGACAAGATTTATGTTGGTTACGGGTACTGTATCAATATAAATGTTAACTGGTTTAACTGGTGTCTGAATATTCTGGGGATTAATCAGTGAAAGAGGCACGGATTATAAGTTCCAGAATATTGAAGGAGGGAAAGAATGAGCGCTCAGAATCAAGGGAGCTTTGGCCAGGAGAATGAGCACATCAATTGAGTGACTGATCATTATTTGTCATGATCTGTAAGTGACATCATAATTGTGTACTAGTTGATCAATGTACTAGTTGCTCTTGATGCGTGCACTTGACAGATCCTCTAATAATGTAGTCATAATTGTGATCAGTACATGTATTGAATGTATTAATTCTATTGACACTTAATACTTACTATTTAGTACATGTACATATTTATTTGTAATAATATTTGACCGTGAAAATACTGTAGCAGAGGGATAACTTGTGGTACAGGTATTTCACGGACAAGGGAGTGAAAGGTAAGTGATAATTACTTATGTAGAACACAGGTATGTATTTAATAGATAAGTAATTAACAGATAAGATAACTGTAAGATAAATAAGATAAGTTAATAATAGAGATAAGATAACAAGAGGTAAAGGTAATCAACATTATGGATAAGTACTTATGTACATAAGTACAGGTGTTGCAGTTACTTGGTACATGAAAGGTACTGTGACATGTACTCTGTGGCTGACAGCATAAGACCATAGACAAGTCCTGTGAGTGAATGAAAATGCTTGTGATTTCTGAAAGTGTCCTATTCACCCTCTCAATAACACCATTTTGATGATGCTTATACAGAACCAACTTCTCATGCAAAATCCCTTCAGTTGATAAGAATTTTACCAGGATGTTTCTCCTAAAATGTCCAGAGCATTTTCAGTCCTCAACTGTTTCACCCACCATTTAGATAAGTTATTAAGCTGTGGTATCCAACAAATAACCTCTGCCTTAGCCTTGCCTTTTGTTTTCATTGGAATTGCTGACATAGCAGGTCCTTTTTTGGGGTCTACACCCATAGTGTTAGCACACACATGCAGGTGGGATTCTGCTACCCCAAGCTAAATCTAACAGAATTATGCTATGTCAAACCACACTACCACTATGGTTAGTTTAACTAGCCCCCCCACCCCCTTGAAATTATAAACTAAATAAAACTACTTCTTTCATCTTTTTTTTCTCTTTTCCTCTCTCTTCTGGCTGTATTTCTTTTATATCTAGAAAGTCATTCAGGAGCTCTCTCATTTTCTAGTGCCCTGCTGCCACATAAGAGGCACAGGCTCACATGAAGTTAGTACCATGAGTTGGAAGAAGGTCTTCTAATTATCAATGAGAATCTAACATCTTATAGATTGGTTTTCATGATTGGCTAGCTTTAAGATATTTTCCATTTTCTGTGGCCAATATTGGCATCTCAATGGAACATGAATTGAAAGAATTTGAAAGGAGAAAACCCATTTGTTACTGATGTTAAACTCACACAATGTATCTTCAGGTTGAGTAGGTAGGAGATTATTACAGTTTGAATTCTCTAATTGGTTGAGATGGCACTTTAAGGTTTTACCATAGAGAAAGCCTTATAACATAATAATTGTACCCAATACCTAGCCTGGGAAATTAAAGCATGGGTTGATCCTAAAGATGAAGAGTTGGTTGAAATGGATTACATGACCCTTGCTCCACACTGCTGATATGCTGCAAGATACATAATCCAGCTGTTGGATCATCATCATCATTGCCAAATATATCATACATAGCAGCAACTGCAACTAGGGAACGCCTAAAAGTGAGCTTTGGGATGAAGAATATCTCTCTACTTGCACTAATTTCATGTGTTACTTTTGGAGCTTTGTCAGGCTCTTTTACATAACTGTACAACAACTGACTGTTGTGGTTTTTGCTTTGCTCAAAACCCATCATCTCTCTTCAAAGCTGATTAAAATATTGATTACCTATTTTTCCAGTGCCTGATGTTGAAGGAAAGATTAAAAGAATGAATATTTTCTGTAGTTAAACATGCCTTTGTTCTTTGGTTCATCTTAGTTACCCCATAACACAAGTGTTGCTGACAATCACCCAATAGGCTAGGCTGTATGATCTGCCCCCCCCCCCTACTTCAAAAAAGTTTTCACCTGCATGGGTGCATTTTGTTTGGACCAGGTCAAACTGCTGCAGGGGTCCTGATGGGCTTCAGATCAAGCTTCTGGCGCAGGTGGGTGCTGTGGATCAAGATAACGGCATGTGTCCAAGTTATGTTCTTGTGGACAATCAGTACTCTCCCAGCGATGACCGCGATTGCACACATATCGATCTAGGCAAGCATCCTTGTAACCACACTTTTGTGCAATAATGGTTCCGTGGGAACAGATTATTTTCGGTGAACAAGTGGTCGCAGGTCTGCTGATTATAGCCCAGGTTTCTGTGGTTCCACATTTGGGGCATGGTAGCAGACCATCTATCTGGTGGAACAGAGCCCCGCCAATCAGTGCGGCCCATAGCCAGGCTGTTGCTGAGCACTTCATGGGACAGTCGTTGATTGAGATGGGATTTGATCCGAGGTGCTGGTTGTTAGTAAGGCTGGCACCCGGGGCTTCGGGAGGGGGGTCAAGCCCATCCCGGACCCCACATCCGAAACCAACCGGGTGGACACCGATCCACCCGGGGGGTTTTTGTTTTTTATTTTTTGCTGGCAAGCACTGAGTTGAGGGGTGGTTGTGAGCCTAGAATATACCCCAGACGCTCCATCTCCCTCTTTTACAACAGTATGTTTGATTTTTGATGAGGGAAACTCACTTTATTGCTAGTCGGTAAGTTGTCACCTTGCTCCCCCTGCTCAATCGTCACTCTATTCGCACACTCGCCACTTTCCTGGCTCGTAAATAGACGCTGGTCGGCTCATCAGAGCACTGATGATGCACGACAAATGTCCAAAAGTGTAATTTTAACATCTCAAAAGGCCTCTCAAGGCTTCAATTTTAACCACCCGGGGTGTCGGGGGGTGTTCCAGACCCATCCCAACCACCGCACCCCAGGTGGTACCACCCGGGGTGTCACCCCGGGTTGCGCCTTTTGGGTGCCACCCTTAGTTGTTAGAACTCAACTTGAGGTTGTATTATATACCGCGAACTTATCACAAGTCTCCAGCTGCGGCGGGCGCATCTGGCAGCGTAGCGCTGGCCAGGCGGTTCCCGAAGGGAACTCCCCGCAGGGGAGACTTGGGCCAGAGGTCGACCAACTCAGGTGCTGAGTTTCTCCAGTTTTGGTGGGAGCGTCACAAGATTTGCAATCATGACGCTCCCTCAAAAGTTTATGGATGTTCGGCCCAGAATTCTTGAAGGGCTAGATGATCCTATTGATCCAGCCCAAACTCAGAAGTTGTACACCACAACTGGAATTAAGATTGATTTTCTAAAATTAAGATTTGAACTTTTTTTGAGCTCAAATGCGGGGTTTGTTCAACTTGGGCCCACCAAAATAAGTCAACCTGAGTTGAAAAGTCGATGTTTTCAAAACCTTTCTGTAAATGATTAACAAAAAAACCAAAAAAACTGAACACAGGGAAATGTGGACAAGAAGCAGACCCTTCTTGGTCCACAAGGAAATTATATAAATGTGGATGAGGAAGAGTGTAGTCAGAAAAATACACAAAAAAACAGGTTTCAAGCCCAATTTTGAAAACTCACCACGCGGGGATCGCCGCATCTGTTCTGGGCCTCCACTGGCGTGGACAGCTCCGCTGCTTGCTCCCGCTCCCGCCGTGGAGGCCTAGTTAGGCTCGTATATACCGGGAAGGCGGGCAGGTTAATAATTACCGAATCGACGACTGTGATGGGGTGTTAAGGTAGAGGGTCCTCGACAGTATTTATAGCTCACATCGGCCACGTCCTCGTTATATTGGCGGCCATCCTACCCCGCAATTATTCCAAACAGGCTTGCTTCGATCGGCAATCCTCTCGAAGCCCGTCAGCTCGTTGACCATCCAAAATGAGATCGAAGCGTCAATTAAGCCACTGCATGACTCACCACCTCACAGCAGTAGCCTGGCGCTTTGCTCGCTTGGATATTCCTCTACCTTAATGTCCAGATTCCCCCACTATCGGGTTTCGCAGCTCCGATCAAGCGCACCGCACCTCATCTCCCAGCCCGCTGATGATCCAATTATCGTGTCAGAGGTAATGGCCTTATTTGCGTCCGCGACAGCTCGACGCCGTATCGGCTTCGGACCAATAACTCCTCGCCATGAGTGAATTCACACCTAGATTAATACCACGATCATGCCTATTTCGATTCAAGTTTTGTTGATGAGAATGATGAAGAATATTGAAATTCTGAATTCCATCTGATTCGAGTTTGTCTGATGTAGTTTTCCTAGCATGCTTGAGATTTGACCCCCTTCATCTGAGAGTCCGCGTAATTGACTATGAGCAACATGATTGTCTTTCCAATTTAAACGCCAGTTGACGGTCTTCGGTCACTTCGATTCATTCTTCAGTGCGCGTGTCATTGATTTGAGACGGTTATCCTCAGTTTTCAATTTGAGATTATAGCCATTCTTGGTTTCAGGATGCACGGAATTCCTTCTCGATTTGGATTGAATCTTCGGTTCATTGGAGACGTAATCCCAACCGGATTGATGAGCATGAAGTAGTAGATGTTTGTCGATTGGCAGGTACCACATATACAGGTATCAAATCAAGTCCTTCGATACCAATTTTCCGATCGGTATTTCATCGTCTTCATGAGTTTATTTTGAGCCCCTTCTTCCGCAAGTGACACCGGAGCGGAAGAATACGATGCTGAGGAGACCGACGATGGCGAGCGAGCCTGTCCGAATGAGTGTTCCGGTGTTCGCGGAGTTGGTGGTAAGAAGGGAAGAATACATAGAGATTGCAATGAGGATGAAGCTTGGGTTGGGGCATTCTTGCGAGGAGGTCCGGACAGCTGGTCCAAAAGTATTCGACGTGATGAGCTCGAAGGGTTAAATTTGCAACTTGAAGCTGCAAACTTAACCAAGTCCGGCCCTGCTGGGCGCGAGGCGCGCTTCGTGCCTGGGGGGGGGCATATTCGCAGAAGCTCACAGGGGCTTGATTCTCGACTTCAGAATCTCCTTAGAATACACCCCAGGGGCACTTCTTGCCGAGCGGGATCGTGGAACCGACGAAACTCGGCTGATCCGTGGAACCGACGAGATCAGCTCTGTAAGTCTTCGGTAAGGACTGATTTCGTCGTCGGTTCCACGAACCGAGCTTTTCTTCGTCGTCGATTCCACGAACTCCCATCCGAGCCGATCGGGCTCTCGTTGCTCACGTCGGTTCCACGGCGGCCAATTTTTTTTTACCTACATCCGCGACCCGCTAGAACGGGTCCTGACAGTCTAAAAGCTCCAGAAAAACGAGTGTCGAAGAAAAAAAAAAATTTAAAAAAAAAAAAAACTTTGAATTTTTTTTTGTGATGTCCGTAAAAATAACCCGGAACCGATCAGTACGGGTCGATATGGTCTCAAAAGGGGCAGCCCAACAACAAGTCCCTGTGGACTAGTCGTCGAGGTTCCCCCTCGACCGGCCAGTCCACCTGTCTACCCGGGTTCGACTCCCACTGGCTTCCTTTTTGAGGCCCCCGCTGTTTCTGCAGCTGCAGCCCTACCCGAACTCACGTGGGCTCCTCGGGGCAACTTCGGAGGGGTGCCGTGGATGGGTGGGTGGAGTCCACAGAAAACTGTGGACCGTCAGCTGCTGGTCCGACCTGCTGCAGTGGCCACTCGTGGGATCCACGGGCAAAAGTGGTGTCCGACCACGTTGAACTGCGCCCGAGGTGTAGAACATCGGATAGAGCTGCAGAGGTTCAGATGAGCCTGCACTCAGCTCTTATGGCCACTCAATTACATTTTTCATCTTTAGCTTGCTCAAGAAAACGCCTTGCACCATCACCACCCAATAGTCATTATGGATAAAATCCATCATAGAATCCGTTGGGAGATCTGGATACCGTTCAGAAAGTTCTTTAATTGGCTTGACAGTCTTGGTTCAACAGTGGAAGACTTGCCGCCAAATTTACAGCCCCCTGTAAACCTATTTTTACAGGCTATATAACCGTTTTCCCAGCAAAAAATTAACCCTACAGCCTGTAAATCTAGCTTTACAAGGCCTGTAAAACCGACGGGAAGTCCTCCAGTCTCTGCTTCTCTTGGGCTCATGGCAATGTGGCAGGTGGTCTTGTGGCTGGAGTTCTAGCAGACCATGTTCCTAGCTGGTCAGGGCCAGAGGACAAAGTATCAAATGTTTTGTTCCTATTTCTTTCATTCAATTTGTGAGGTTTTCACACACTCAAACAGGTTATCACAAAACTTTTTTAGTAGCCTGTTTGAAGGTTGGGGAACATCAGCCTGGAAAACAGTGCAGACATTACACAACAAATTTGAGAGGAGACTGGTAGCTGTAGCTCTGCCCTTCAAAACATTTGAAACTACCTCCCAACCTATTTATCAATAATTTTCTGAATCACAGTTGCCCTTGGGTTTCAGTGAGTCGTGGGAACATGTATCTATGTAGTATCTTGAAAATGAAGGTGGGGTTTTGGGGAAACCCATGTATCTAACTGTGTCAACAAGATCAACTGGTGTCTGTTGGAACAACCCAGTTCCCCTCCTTACCTGGCTATGTAATGTTGCAATGATTTTGTGTGTTGGAAAGGGAATCAGGTGCTCAACCGTTTTCTGACCTATACTTAATCTTTGTGGTTCATCTCAAGAAAAAAAAGTATCCATTAGGTGTGTATCACTCAAAAAACCTCTGCTTTAAACATACCATAGATTTATTTGATTCCAAGTAAAAAACCTAGGTCACCAGCCATTTATTTGGGAAAAGATACAAGGCAAGTGAATGTTTTCCCTTCATCATTAAAAGATTGATGAAACTTATAATATTCAAATTTTCCTTGTTTTCTTCAACTCCAGAAACATAACAACTCTTGAATTTTGCTCAATATTCAGCCAGAAAAAACTTAACAATCCTTCCAAGAGCAAATTAAAAGTTCTCCGGTAAACCAATTTGATAATTCACTCAAATCTTGTCAGTGTTTCTTTGCAAAAAGGTTACTGAATTGATTGGTTTGATGGGACAAAATGACAAGTGTTGTGCTGATATTCACACATCTCCCTTTCAATTTTAATTTTCTTCTTTTCAATTGGCACACAGGTTGAGCAACGTTGTGATGGATATTAGGAAGTTATCTATTTTATTCCTTGCCTTCTTGAATAGGCTTTCATATGCTCTGGAACATTTTGGGTTATGTACAAACTTCAGAGAAGATGTTCAGGGATTGGGACGGAAGTTGTATGAGTGCCCTCAATTAGACTGTCCAAACAAATACTCCTTGATCTGGAGGACCACTTGCTTAAATTGTGGTGCTTATGAGGACCAGTTCCGCATGGGATGCATGTTTCATGAGTATGTGTTTTTTTGTTTTAACTTGGAAATTCAGAAAACAAAATATGCTAAATTGCACTCATCAGGGTGATAAAAAACTGACTTGTTTATTTTTCATTCTTATAAAAATAATTCAAGCCCAGTCAAGCTTTCCAATGATAATGTTGAAGATTCTTCACATTTTGAAAATGCTGTAGATACTAGCAATACTGATAATACTCTATCCTTAGTGCCCAAGAGTCAAAAATTTCTTCTCATAATTTTCACAATATCTTACATCTTTCTTGATAGATATAAATTTTTTTAAACAATTTTTTTTAACTTTTACCTTAATTCTATTAGTCCAGATGGTATTTGTGGTAAAAAATGGGGGTTATTGAGGCATCAGATCATCTTTATCTTCACATTTTTATTACCTGATATTATCTTCCATCTGTGCACATCCCTCCCTTTGTTTATGAAGGGCAATCCCCACCCCCTGCTAGTCTACTTCAAATCAATTGTTAATTCATTGTATATTTTTTGTGATAGAGCTGGTGCATACTCAATGACTTATCCAGGTCCTTTTCAGCCACCAGAAGTTATCTTATTCTCTATGACTTCTTTTATATTCAGTTGCACTTGTAACATTACATAACTCACTTGGGCTTGAGATTGGAATATAATTTCTTGTTACTTTTGGGGCTGGTTTAAAGATGTGATTTGATAATTTACATACTTTCTAGTATGAATGGCTTCCAGAAAAGTTATGAAATAGGGATTATATGTATGAATAAAAAAACTTCAGATCATGGGGAATACTAGAACTCATTTTTTACTTTGATACCAGGAGGATTGAATACATTATGATATTTATTTTACAAGAATTTGGGATTTCTTCTTTTGAAATTTGCTTAAAACATTTTTCATTATATACTCTCTTTAGTCTTTACTTGAGAAGAACTATAGGTAGTTATGGGCCGCTAAACTACACTAGGGAGCAGTCTGTGCAAAGGGGGGTCAATGTGTTAAAATGCAATGTTTAACAATTTCTTTTTTGTTATTTTTACCGAAAAAAAAAACAGATTGCAATACTTTACCTTATGGAACAGTCCAATAGAGGTGGAATCAACCAAGAAAGACCTGGTTTTATGGCTATTGAAAAAAAATGCAACATTTTGATAACAGTAAAATTGTAAAGTAATGAAAAATTGTCACTTTTCACTTTACCAATACAGATTAGGTTTGGTCATGAATTCCCTGAGCAGCATTATGTTGGTCATATATTTAATGGCGGTCTTAGGAGAAGTGCAATCTTCAATGTTGGTCTGTGGCACAATCCTGACCAGGTTACAATATGAAAGGTCTGGAGTGCTGAAAAGATTGGTCAGAAATCAAATTAGTGAGGATGTTGCTGAGAAACACCCAAAAAGCTGGCTATGTTGTAACTGTAAGAGCCCCCTCAGCTTCCAAAACATTATTCACCCACATAAACATGTACATTCTGCTTGGACTGGGACAAGTGTTCATGCAGTGGATTTTGACATGATGCAAGTATCTCCTAGGACAGACCTGTGTTCAACCCATCATGGTTGTTATGTGTAGGGCTGATGAAAAACAGGAATTATAATTGAAGCTAGAACCAGAACTTAAAAAGAGAAGAAAAACAAATGTTAGAGTTTTAGAACAAGAAGACAAATGATTGAAGAAAAGCAATTAATAATAAGAAAACAAGAAAGAACATTTACCACGAGATGAGTTGTCTTTTGGGTTAGACAGAGCAGAAAGACTAAAGTAAATGAGATCAAACAGCAAGATATAGTACACACTGGTGTCAATCAAGAAAAGAAAACAAGAAACAAGAAAAAAGGTTAATATTTCAGTCCGAAGAAGTTGAGATGAATTCGGTCAGATTTTCTCACCAAATTGGCAGTAGCCAAATGAGGAATTCAAGAGAGAGTATTGGCGGGGGCGAGGATAAGAGGTGGATGAAGTGATGTTGGGAAGAGAAGAAGTCGTCGTCAATATGATTGGGAAAGAAGGGATAAGAGAGAGAGAAAAAAATAGAGCAAGAGAAGTGAAGAAGCGTAGTCGAAGAATGATGGTGAGAGGAATGATGTGAGGTGCGAGTGTTGGAGAGATTTTGCTGAAGGCCGAGCAGTTGAGGCAAGAATGGTGGAGAGGGAAAAGTGATTGGTATCGGATCAGATTTCGGAGACTGCTGAGGAGAAGAGATGTCGAGACTGGGGTGAGAGACCTCTATTTATATTGTTTGATTTTTGGGTCGAGTTGTGGTTGGATTAGGTGTGAGGCTTCGACATGTTCGGAGGAGACGAGAGTGAAACGTGGAGCGACTAGAAACGTGGCTGAGAAGAAGAGAGAAGAATAGAAGAGAGAGAGAGAGAGCGGAGAGGGAGAGAGAGCGGAGAGAGAGAGAGAGCGGAGAGAGCAAAGAGAGAGAAAGAAAAGAGCGGGGCATTTTGGAGAATTCCAACAAGGGAAGAGTCCTAATTGGTGGTTTGAAGATTCAAGTGGACAGTCAGTCTCAACCCATCTATGCCTGCACTTGCTACAGAAATAGTTGTCCGATGCAATATTGGTTGACCTGCACTGATACACCCCAGGGGCACTTCTTGCCGAGCGGGATCGTGGAACCAATGAAACTCGGCTGATCCGTGGAACCGACGAGATCAGCTCTGTAAGTCTTCGGTAAGGACTGATTTTGTCGTCGGTTCCACGAACCGAGCTTTTCTTTGTCGTTGTGGTGTTCTAAACGGTACAGGCCCCCTCAAGGTCCAATTTCAGAATTCAACTTTCAAATTTTCAATATCCTCAAGACTCAATATTTCAATATTATCACCTCAAATCCCCACTCAGTCCAATGGTTTCCTCATTTTATTATTTTATTTTATTTCATTTCCTCTTATTATTTTCATTTTATTTTTTATTCATCTTGATTTTATTTTATTTTATTTTTATTTTTTATCATTTTATTATTCTTACTTATCTTTTTCAAATCACTTACTCAGAAGACAGTGTTGTTTCTTATTTCTTGGTCCTAAGACATAGTTTCATTTATGTTGGTTTATTCTGATCTTGTTTGTTTGTTCTATTCTGTGTTCTTCTTTTGTTCTTTTGTTGTGTTGTTTTTGTTTCTGGTTGATTGGTGTTGTAGTTAGGGATGTGATGACATGTCTGTGACATGTCACTCCCCAGAGTCAAAGTTCAGTTTGAACTGAGATGATGGGGAGGCATGGAATTCTGTTCTGATCCAAGAAAGACCCATCAAATCTTATTGAAATCTTATTGATCCTGATCTTCTGAGCTCTTCTCATCTCAAACCTTCTTACCCCACATTCCATTCAGATCTTCAAACTCAAACCACACCACCGCCTGCAGAACTCAATTCTGCTGTCTTCTCACCAAATCCAACCTCACCACTTCCTGTTTTGATCACATCTCTCATCCGGACCTACAACGAGGGCAGCTTCTCAGCACCTTCCCCTCAACCAACTTCCACCGGCCAGCACCGTTGGAGTTCCACATTTGGTCCCCCGAGCCGGGATCGAACCAGCAACCTCAAGATTTACAGTCTCGCCAAGGATTTTTGGACGGCTGTCGGTCAACTTCATTGAGGATAAAACTTCTATTACTCTGGTTTTGGTCTTGCTAGATTGTGTAGCTTACTTGTTGAGGTCCTCACTTCTTTTGGATCAAGGCATTTCAGGATAGCCAGCTCTAGTTTCAAGATTCACTGCTTGGCTCGATATTCTCAAGTTTTGATCGGTCAAATCTCTCAAACCGCTTACAACCGTCGAAGGACTCAGTCGACAAAGTTGTTTTTCGGATCCGTAGCTTTCGTTTGATCCAGAAATTAGCCAAATCGGACGAACGGTTCAAAAAGTTATCGCCCTTGGAAGTTGGAACTCGACTTTTTCTTGGATTATCTTCAGTCACTTACAATTGGGAAACCAAATAGCAAAATCACGACGACGCATTCAAAATTTATCGCCTTGGAAAGTTTGGACCTCGATTTTGCTCCGATTATCTTTGATCGTCTTACAATTTAGAAACCAAATTCGCGAAACCCGTTGAGGAATTGCTCTACGTATCGTCCGGGACACAGTTATACCGAGAATATTCGTGGCTTTTCTTTTGATCCTGAACATTAGCGAAATCCGATGACGCATTGCTAAAATTATCGCCCTTGGAAATTGGACCTCCATTTTGCTCCTGACTATCTTTTGATCGTCTACTTAACGCACAACCGTATGACGCAACGCTCTACTGATCGCCCCTGAAAAAGTTACTAGAGACTACTCCGATGGCTTTCTTTTGATCCGAAAAAAAAAAAATTAACGAAAACCGTTGAGGATCGCTCTACGTCGCCGCAGACAAAGTTATAGAGACTACTCGTGGCTTTCTTTTGATCCAAAAAAAAAAAATTAGCGAAATCCGACGACGCATTCAAAATCTATCGCCCTTGAAAGTTAGACCTCGGTTTTGCTCTGATTATCTTTGATCGTCTACATATCGCACACCGTTGAGGATTGCTCTACGGGACAAAGTTATAGAGACAAATCGTGGCTTTCTTTTAATTCAGAAATTATCAAAATCCGACCACGCATTCCAAAGTTATTTCACCTCCAACTTAACATCCCAAATCTCTTTATTCCTATCTTCGACGCAAAAGATCTCGAGATCTATCCGTTTTTGAGCAACATAACTGCAGACAGAGTTTTAGCTATCGGTCGCAGCTTTCATTTGAGCCTGCAATCGCGTCGATCGGACTACTCCTTCAAGAGTTATCCTACTTCAAAGTCAACATTGGACTGAAGGAGTTTAGGACAAAATCTAGTTCTTGTTTGATTTGGATCAAGATTGTTGGATTTCTTTTCTTTTTTTGTTGTTACGCGTGGGGCACAGGAGAGATAGAAGTAAGTCCCCTCCATAGTTGCACCTCCGAAGCTCTTCTACATACCGTCGAAAGCATTACTCTAGCCACGTTTGTGAGCCTCTCGGTTTTGCTCTCTTGTTGTTTCAGACTATTCTTCAATCAAATACGCCATGGCAGACGCAGGTGCAGGATCATCTGATGGAAAAATGGTGAAGATCAAGCCGCAGGATAAGTCATTGGGATTCGATGGGAACAATGTCGAGAGATTCTTGTCTGACTATCAGCTGGCGGCGAGGTTGGATGGTGCATCCGATAGTGATATGGCCCAGCAAGTTCGGTTCTTTGTGCGTGGCGAGGAAGTTAAGGATGTGCTCGAAACGTTGGATGGCTTTGAACCCCCAAACTGGGCACTGCTAAAGGCGGCAATGCTGGCCCATTGGGGAAAGGTGGATATCGCAAAGTTCACAACCCAAGATTTAGAGTCGTTAGTGCAGGAGTGGATCGACAAGGGAGGAGTGTCTTCATTAGTCAATTATCAGGACTTTAGGAAAGGGTGGGAGCCCATTCGGTCTTATCTCCTTAGAAAGGCCCACATCGACTTGTTGGAGGAGATTCGAACATTGTTTTATCACTCGTTTTCAACGGCGGTGCAAGAGAGGATTCGGGATCAGCTTATCAAAGACAAGACAATGATCACGACGTTAGACAACCGCTTCAAACTTCCTGCCTTTGACGTTCTAAAGAAGGCTGTAGACGAGGTTATGAAGGGTCAGACTGCATTAACTTTTGAGGATTCTAGATCTTCCAATCCTGTCTTGACGTCACTGTTTAAGCAATCCAACAACATAATGAGTAAGATGGAGACAGATCGACGACCAAAGGAGGCCCCTGTTTCAGCAAAGGCACCGGCCACCGTTGACGAAATTTCGAAGATGCTCCAGTCATTTGAGCAAAGGCTCGAGAAGAAGTTTTCCGCAAGCGCTGTACCTCCTTCTTCGTCAGTACCGCCTGCACCACGAGGACCAATTGTTTGTTACTATTGCCATCGTGAGGGGCATGGAACCGCGCGCTGCTTTGAGCTTCAGAGGGATAAGAGTGAGAAGTTGGTTGATCAGCAGGGGAATAATTTTTTTCTTCCAAATGGAGCTTTCATTCCATTCGACTCGTGCACGCCCGATCCGACATGTAGTGGCCTCTTATCAGCCTAAA